GATTTCTCCCACAGATGATTACTATACTTTCAATCTCTTTACTTTTGTTAGACCGATTGATAGGTCGATATGGTTCCAACAACAAATGCGCTCTCTATTTCTCGAATGGATATCTAAATACCCTCGTTTCACAGCGTAAACTCCGTCGACATCTTTTAACCAAGGCGTCCTAAGTATCATTTCGTCTAACTATCTTAGAATAATATAGGCAAAGACTTTCTGCTATTATAGTCCATTAACATCAAGATCGAAGTATATGGCCTAAGTGATCTATCCTTGATTCTTGATGACTCCGTTCAGGATTCGTGGTAGAATCGGGATATACAGAAGGTTAAGAGATTACGCTAGGTGTCCGCTGATAGATGCATAGCTATCGCTTCCGTTATCTACTAAAGTCTTCGCGAATTGAATTCCATTAACTCTAGCATCGATATAGAATAACGCCTCTTTCTTTAGTAGCTTCTCAACCCCCTTCTGCTCCTACTCGCGGTTTAGTGCAGGAGCTAATCTTTTCCCGACTTATTCTCCACTTCATCTTCTTTGATCGCTGGCGAATACTCCCTTCTTTAGGGGTAGCTCGATCTTGGTTCTTCGACTACTATATTCCGTACCACCACTTGGTTCGGATTCTATGCGGGTAGTAAAGGGCATATACTTTGCTAATAGTTATCTCGACCATATCGTAGACATCTCTTTTCTATACAGCGATGTTGGAGTTCTTCTTTCTCGACCTATTTTACACATTTTCCCACAAGATATTGATCCTCTTTACAAACCTATCCCTTTTCGTTCACGAATCGGGACGAATTTGTCTATATGGTGTTCGTGTTTACTATTAGAGTCTAGTCCATCCTATCCTCTATAGCTATGGTTAATTGATCTCTTTGGATTCGCTGGCGAGTAGATAACTAACGTCTGCCTAATACAATATTCAGTATCTCGCTATTAGTATCGATTTCGTGGAGCCGTGTGATAAGACCTATAAAATCATAGGGAACACCACGATTCATAAGCGAATTCGTCATATCTTTATTAAGAGCGTTTAGTAAGAGTTGTCGTTTTACTTCGTCGTGCTATTCGGTTACACCAGCATCTGCGAGCTCTCTTTCTAACTAGGGAAGGAATCGTGAAAAAGGCTGGTCGGGCTTCTATTTAAGCTAATATAGACGCCGAGCTGCTTATGATCGAGTGTTAGGGTCTCTATACATCCTCTCAAGATATTCCAGAAGCATATATAGGTTACCTTCGCTTTGTTATGTCTTCATAAACGTTCCGGTGTTCTTAGCGGCCATTTTCTCTAGGCGGGAAAATATATAGAGGAATTGCTCTTATGGGGTACCGATGGCAGCTCTGTCTACTAGCAATTTGTTCTCTATCGAGATTCTCCAGGTTGGCCAATCAGAGATGTTTCCTATATACATCGCGGGGTCGGGGAGACGAGGGCGAGGTCGTCAAATCTGGTTATTATCGCTGGTTGATTCGATTGGTATCCCTTGTGGTTCCGTGGGTGGTTCGGGAGCGGCTCGCTCCTGGGACCGAACCACTAATTCTTCGAGTCTTCTAATTCTCTCATCGGTACTAATACTTGTCTGACTGATGTGCTGCATCAACGTCCTAGCCCACTCGGGTGGGCTCGACGGTTCGCTTATAGTCATGATGATGAAGATATTCGTTTTCTTCTTGTATTTAAATCGGATGCTTTCCGTCTTCAATTCGTTTATCGGATGCTCAACTAGATACTTTCTAAGAGCGATTTCGTATTCATAGGACGCTCAATTAGATACTTTCTAAGAGCTTTTCGTATTCGTTGGTATGCTCGATCGGATTCTTTCCGAGAGCGATTCGTTCGTCTATCGTATGTGGCTCGATCAGATACTTTCTGAGAGCGCTTTTCTTATCGTCGGTCGTGGGTTTTACTCTCGTTAGAGGAAGGATTTTGTATATGAAGGGCTAAAGCTAATCTTGAATTCAGAACTAGCTAGGCACATGCTATTTACAAAATCCTTGAAGAACGTGAACAATTCGGGGTGGAATCGTGAGGTATGCGGTTGGTGGGTCACGTGGTACAACCACGTGATAGTTCACCAGGATTCAACCTGTTACAATATCTCCCTCGTCTTGGGTGAAATGTTTCGTCTTAAGAGCAAAGGATGGCATGGAACCAGGAATAGCGTTACTGCCCTAAATCAAGCCGCAATTCATACTTCAGACTTCACTAGAAGTCTGGTTGAAATCATAAATAGCAGGCGCAATAGAAACACTCAGTTTATAGAGATTATGCAGGACGGAGCATATCTTCTTAAGAATATAATGAGTATAGGTGAGATAACAGAGCATAGTTTTAACCTTCAAAAAAGCCAAAGACGCATTTCTCAAAATTGCTATTGATATTGAGCAGCTGCTTAGGGATCTTTCGATGCTATCTGAAGTGGATAATGCGGGTTTATTGGAAAGCATGACAGTTTTGTGATCGGTGGGCAACTGAGCTTCATATTGGCTATACAATGGATTTTGGTAACAACCTTGGTAGAGGAAGAACGCTAGTAGGAGTAGTTTACGGTGAATTCATTCAACTGAGATTTACGGGGGAAAGGTAAAGAGGGTTCATGTGACGAATGAGTCGGCACGTGACCAAAGCACGTTGTCAGACGGTTACTGTTTGCTTTGTTTGCATGTTATTTGGACTATTTAGTTTCTGTGGATTTCCCACGTAATTAGCCAATCAATCAATCGTTAACATTTCCTTCCGCCCAATTTGCTGACACACGTGAGATGGAAGGAGCCGCATCCTGATTAGTACTAGTGCGGAGGCTAGATCTAGTCAGAGAGGATTCACTTCCTCTCTTCCTTTCTTTTCTTTCTCATCTTAGAATTCGATTCTTACCACCAGGTGTTTCTCATTCCAGTAGCCTGTAGGTAGAGGTCGGCACGGATACATATCCGTAAGATTTTGGATTATTCGTATCCGTAACCGTAGTCGAGAACTTATATCCGTGATATTATGCCACCGCCTAAATAAATCATACGATACCACGATAGAAACTTATCATCCCAAGTCCCCAATTTGATATCTAAATAGTTATTCATTCATTGATAGAATAAGTCTCCTACCACGCCGAGTCTGGCGACTATCAATCTTCCTTATAGAAGCAGCTTCTTTTGAAGGCGACTTTGCAGGGCTTAGTCCTGATATCTCTTCTGCTGTCTTGGTTGGAATGCAAAAGTATAGGAAATGGAACAAGAGCTTGAAGATGGGGTTATCCAAGGAATCATTCAGAGTATTAAGGTCTTTCTTCATAAGAAATATTCCCCCTTGGCTACCTCCATCTCTAGTTTTACTTCTAGAACTATGGATCCCCCTGCTCGACCAGGTATGAGAGCTCGTCTTCTACAAAAAGTACATTCTCAAAAAGTATCTCGGGCTTCTGATATTGATCGCTATTTTGATGAACCTCCTATTCAAGTAGAAGGATTAATAGAAGACCAGGAGGACTCTAAGTGGCTGCTTTCATGGTGGAACGCTCATAATGATCAACACCCCAGGATGGCAGCAGTTGCAAGGGACTACCTTGGTATTCCAGCAGCTGAGGTTTCAGTTGAAAGACTTTTCAGTTCTGTAAGGGATATCCTAGGTGTTCGTCGACAATCTCTGAACAGTAAGACCATGAGAGAGTTAGTTTTGTTAAGAGATGTATATAATATTGATTCCTAATTGAAATTTCTTTTACTTGAGAATTACATGAGATTTATAACTCTATAGATGTGGAAATATATATTAGAACTGTAGGTGGTTCTAGACACTTGATATATGCTACGGATATTACGGATATCCGTACGGATAGAGGGCATTTATTCGTAACCGTGCCGACCTCTACCTGTAGGGTTGTCACAGTTCAGAAACTTCAAAGTTTTCAATCGACCTAGTCTTTGTGTTTGATTCTCTAAACTTTTGGCAACATTGTTAGCCTTGAATGGCCACACAATACCCTTTGCACGAAAATTTTCAAATGTCTCCAGAGGTTCTTCATGGTCTACCCAAAATTGGTTATCGGCACATGATACAGTGCCGTCGTTTGTATCGTCATCAAAAATTGAACCATGTAAACGAGCCATACGGACTTAACTGACGGGCGAAGAGGACATGATAGACCGGACATGCTCTTGAGTTATAGCAAGGTCTACTTCTTCTGGGCCGCGCCCGAATCCCCGAAGGACGGCAGGAATGGCAGCGGAATGGGAACTGAGCAGCCATGACTTGATTAACTATTTTACAACTCGAGTCTAGCAATTCAAATCTTTACCTCACTTGTGGGATTGATATCGAGGGTGAGACTAGCTATTAACTTATGTCAAATACAAAACCAAGTCCTCTTACTCCATTCTTATAGATTGTAACTCTTATCGCCTTGTTTCTATTTCAGTATTTGACTAAAGTAGTTCCACTATGGAGTCAAGATTCTAGGCCCGGGGCTCACCTATCGTCCTCACCCTAATGAAGTTTCCGTCGCTGTTTTACGATAAGCTGCTATGGGGGTATGGACTATTGGCCGCGTTGAATATTAGGCTCAGAGCTGGCGCAGAAAAAGAAGAAAAAAAACAGAATAAACAAAAAACATACAACAGTCAGGATTCGCATGTGGTCACCCACCATACTACTAACTGACCGGCGTGTGGCTTAAGTACGGCTGAGCGGACGGGAAGCCCTGTTCTCCACACCCTGTGGTCGTATGTGCTATGAAACCAAAACTTGATATGATATTGAGATAACTTATGTTTAAAATAGATATAGATAAAAGAGTAGACCTACACACACCTTACGAACTGCTATATCCATCGAGGTAAAGAGATCTCACTATAATGTAACGAAAATTTCACATCAAAATGTCGAAACAATAAGTTTGATGTTAAGGTGAAAAGCGAAGACTCAAGATACTTCACTCCAAGCATCGAATGCATTCATAAAACTTCAATTTGAAATTTTAGAAGGCATCTCACTGTGTTCAGCTAGATTTATAGTATGTTATAGTGACAATGTCATCAGTAACAGAGCTGTAGGTCAGAACGGTGTCGGCCTGCTTGATATCCATGATGGTAGCAGTCGAAGGGCCATAGGATGTGTTGCCAGACGTGGCTATAGCATCGCTAAAGGTAACAGTACCAAAGTTGGCGAAATCAATAAGCTCGCTGTCACTCTCAAAGTCTTCAACAATCCACCCGGCATTGTATTCACACAGAGAACCGTCAGTTACATTAGAGAATGAGTGGGTCGCGGAGTTTCCAGTGCTGATATTCTCGATGATGGCAGTACCACCAGTGCTAGAAGTGGCATCAATGGTGACCTTGATTACGTTGCCAGCAGATATTTCGAAATTGTCAAAGTCATAGGCGTAATCGGGGTACCACTCGTACCAGGCGTCGTAGGACACATCGCTGCCCGTGATACAGAAGTCAACACCAACCTGCAAGATGGCAGTTTCGTAGATATCACCATCGATACCAACCTATGCGGAGGCATAGTATTTAGTACTAGCTCTGCGATTCAAGTTAGAGTTTTCGGAGCTAAACCATGACCAGATACCACCACCACCAATTCCGCTAGGAATACTAGGAGTGGGAACGGTGAACTCTCCTGTCACGTAATTGTAATCAGTGCTAATGAGAACAGCACCAGCCTAGTTGGTATCATAATCCTCATGGGAAGTCTTGATTAGGTGCAAAACCTCGTTGACTGTACCCGCTTTATAGGAGGATTGCTCTGGCGCTGAGCAGAGCGACGTACAAGGCGGGCCTTAGAGTGAGCCTGGCGCTTGGTAGTCAGAGGAGCCGTAAAAACATCAGCGGCGAGAGCGCTACCTATGACAGCAGTAGAGAACTTTATTTTGAGCAGTCTATTGGCTCGACAACACCTATGCTGATAATGTAAATGGCAGTTAAAGCTTAGGATGCTTGGCTGGTGGGTTAGATCGACAATCCGGGCAGATCACGCCGCTTTTATAGGTTTTGGTCTCTCAGAATAACGGAATACGCTAATAAGCCTGAAATTCATATCTTGTCACTTTGGAGTGAAAATCTGCCTGCTAATGTAACACTATTACTAAAATAGTAACGCAAAGACCCAAGTTGGTAAGAAGAGCCACCCTTATGATATGTGATCCCGTCGGAGACTGACTATGTCTCTATCAGGGTCCACAGTACTCCGAAGTACGAAGTAGGGGCAATAGAATCTACAAATATATCCGGTCTGCAGGAACAGGCTTATTAATAGCAGTTAGAGTGGAGGAAAAGTGGATCTCTACATCTGATAAAGTCAAAAGCACCATCCATGAATAGTTCATTAACTAATAGTAGTTAATATGACAGTGAAGAGTTCCGCAGGCGGATTCTTCTCCGAGACATTCATTGAACTGCGGGGACTTATCAACAGTATTATTAGATTACTATATAAGGTACTCATATAAGCGTGCTATCCTTTTGAAATGACCTATTGTAGAATCGTGCACACAAATATTCTCCGAAGTGCATACATGATATACTGTGTATTGCTTCAAAATTAACACTGGGGCTTATGCCTAAGTGGGCCAATTTTTTACCAAGGAATTATTTCTTCAAATTAATAACTCCTAAGGTTGTTATCAGTGGCTCTCTTTGCCAAGAGGCTTTAAAACCCACTAGATCTTGGCAGAATCACGAACAATAGAATGTGTCTCATAGATAAAGAAGTCTGGCACGTTCAATGAATAAGTGACTAACTTCTTTAGGACTGTACGGCTGCCTTGAATATTGTATCTAGTCGTAAATAGCTACACCGGGAAATCAGGAACATAGGGAGTATCTTAAGTTAGATAAGGGCTGCCTATGGACTTGAGCTTCTGAAACTCACAGGATGACCCTATCCTTAACATCCTTTTAAGGAGTTCAAGCTATGGGTGGATTAATGTCGGCCATCGCCGATGAATAATGCCAAGGTCTAGAAGGGTTACTTTCTAGCCCTTGAGAGGCTATAGGATTTTTGAACGAAGTCTCTCGATTTCAGATGTCCTCGAGAACAAAGACAGCTTGGGAGAGGTAATTTGAAAGAGAAAATGAATCAAGATAATCTGGAAAGTAATACCTAGGTATATAAATGAATTGAGTTGCCAAAGAGTTCTTAGATGAGATTTTCTCGTAAGTAGGATGGAGAAAAGGATGGTATATTTATTGCCGTTAAAAAATCAGAGCATGTTTGATTGTTTCTGTTGCGACAGCCGAGAAACAAGGCCATCAACAGACGGAAAGTATTTCGGCCGAAAAAGCTTCTGCCGAGACAGCGACTCCGGAACTGGATTAGTATATCACGGCATCCTTGAACGATATGGATTCATCGCAAACGACACCCTTGAGCGATGCGCATTCGCGACAGTAATGTCCCGTCTTCACCGTCTCTTCTGTCTCGGACGAATGTTGACATTCGTCCAGAGCAGAGGGGCGCCCATATACTATAAGTAGCTAGTTCTTTCATCAATGAAAAAGCAGACTTCACAACAAACACAATATTCAGTACTGTAGAGACCACTACACTTGGTGGTTTGTCTACGGTGTTGAGTAGTGGTTTGTTGAAGCTCACCAACTCCTTTCTACTGCAGTAAACTCCAATTCCCTTTTACTGCAGTAAAGACTCGAGCGCCGTTCTCAGTTATCGGCGACTAGCTAGCTACGCTTGCTAAGCGAGCGACAGTTTCCGTCCATTCCTTACCGGAACTCATTTGTTTCAACGCACATATAAATTCATAAATATCGAAAAATTAGCTTCTCTCCCCGTTGTCTTCGCCAGCGGTTCGTCGTTTCTAGCAACTGTGGTGATCCACGGACTACCCACGGCCACTTTTTAATAAACTGCTCGGTGATCTCCTAATTACTAGGGTCACATGGATCGCCCCACACCACTATACTACAGCTCTCTCTTGACAAGTCCCAAAATCCCATGATATCAGTACACAATTCGTCATCGTTAAAGTCGCCTGCCCGAATCAAATTATCCCGCATTGTGGGGAATGGAAAGAAGTCCAGCCAGGGATGATGTATAACAGTAGACTATAGCTATGTAGACTGCAAACTAGGAGGTAGTTTGTCGTATTCAACTTGACTAGGTCTGTATAAATTAAATCGAGAAATAGCATCATCAGCGAGGCATATAGCTTATATATCAAGCTTAAGGACCGACAGAATCTGCGTGAATGCCCGGAAAACATTGAATTTAGTGAGAGTGAACAGGTGATCTGCCGTTAGGCTTCCGAGGGTATAGCTCTCGAGGGCGGATTTGCTGAATATCTCGAGAAGCTGAAGTTTCAAGTCACGCTCTTTAGCACGCTGTGCTCTATGCTTTACCAGAACCTGACTCAAACTTGAAGATGTGATGGAATATTCTTCGTCGGCGTCATCATAGGTTCGATCGAGGCTATCAATCTCAATATCGCGAGATTGTGCTTCTGCTTGTAATTCCTTTCTTTTTCCTGTTCCTATGAGAATCACATCCTTATAAAATTGTTGCTTGTAATTATTTCTTACTATATGCCCTGTGAAGGGCTAAAGCTAATCTTGAATTCAGAACTAGCTAGGCACATGCTATTTACAAAATCCTTGAAGAACGTGAACAATTCGGGGTGGAATCGTGAGGTATGCGGTTGGTGGGTCACGTGGTACAACCACGTGATAGTTCACCAGGATTCAACCTGTTACAATATCCCCCTCCTATTCTCCTGTTTTCCGGGGTCCATTCGAAGTCGTAATTGGTCCGTATCGTAGTTCAAAGGTGTCGAGAGCTGTGCAGTTTTCCATTGCGTCGATAGGTTCCTATGTCAGTTCTGCGTATCCTCGCCATTTCACTAATGCTTCCCTCCGCGATCCACGTCCAATTTTTCGTGTCCTTGCTTATAGGATCTCTTCAATTTCGTATTCCAGATCTCCTTCGACTAACAGCGGAGGCGGTTGCGAATCGTCCACGATTTGTGACGGTAACGGGTCCGTTGCTGCGGGTCTTATTAACTCAACATGGAAGACAGGATGTATGCCGCTTGGCACATCCAGCTTCACTATATGAGAGGATGGCACTTCTAGAACTATGTATTTGGCGTGGAGCCAGTCTAGTTTCTTTGAAGGCCGTATCGTGCGTACATTCCGTAGGTTTAGCCATACTTTATCGTTGATATTATAGACTAGAGCGGCTCGTCTTGAACGATTCGCTTATTCCTGTTAGCGTTCTTGGGCGATAGCCATCGCTGTATTTGCCTAATTGGTGGCGTCTTGTAGCCGGTTCGTGAACGTTTCCGCTGCGATCTCTGGTCCTCTCTCTGCTTAGACTTCTATCACTTCGACTGGATCGACATGGTATCCATGTGTGAAGAAGAATGGAGATAGTCTAGTAGAGGTTGCGTCTCGGTTATTGATCGCCATGGCTACAATAGGTAGTAAACTTGCCCAGTCGTCCTATGCGTACATAGTAAAGGCGCGTAGAATTCGTTCGACTTCTTGATTTGCGCGTTCCGTAGCTCCATTAGTTTAGGGATGGAATGCGGTAGATAATCGGCGTCGAATCTTTAGCTTTTCGCACACGATTCGCCAGAACCCCCCTATAAACTATGGGCCGCGGTCACTAGTGATCGCTATTGGTAAACCATGATGTATATAAATATGCTTCATAAAGACATCTGCGACGTTTTCCGTAGTAATACTATGCATATCTATTAGGATCACTCCTTTAGATAGCCGATCAGTAATTACTAGACAATTCGTCGCTCTTTCTTTCCTAGTGGGTGGAAGTTCTGTGATGAAATCCATAGATAGTTCGGCCTAGATTTGTTATAGAATCGGTAACGGTTTAAGTAGGCCTTGCTTCGAATCTCTCTAAATCGTGTTTCGTCCGTAAATGGTGTAATTCCTTAAGAATCTCCGTATATCGTTCGTTATTCCTGGCCAAAAGAATCTATGGGCTAGTATCGTATAGGTTACGTCCCGTCCTAGATATCCAGTCATATAGGAATCATAGACCTTCTAGATCAAGGTTGTGCGTAGTGGTTCGTTGTCTAGAATCCATATCCTTTTCCTAAAGCGTAGAAGATTTCGTTCATCTAAGTCACACTCGGATAGGCTTATTTTCAGGTTCGATTCAGTAGGGATTCGTCGGTCTCCCTTTTCAAGTACGAGTACGAACTACTAGTATATTTGATCTTCCTTCCGCGCGTTATTCTATGCTTCCTACGTTTCTGCTTCTTTAAACATCGCCACTAGTATATTAAAGTCTAAAGGTGGACTTGGTTCAGTGCTATTATTACGGATTGTTACTGATTCGAAGAGTTTCCGGAAACGATTCGTGAGCCTCTTATTAGAGATTCCTTTAGGTTCGTCTTGTCCTCGCCGGGATAGAGCATCTGGTTGGATCGCCTGTTTCCCGGGTCGATATCGTAGCTCAAAGTCGAATTCGGCCAGGATGTCTGCCTATCTTATTTATCGTTCGCTTAGATCCTGCGCCTTATGAAAGTATTGTAGATTTTTATAGTCCGTTAAGACCACGAATCGCGGGACCATCTTTAGCTCTGGCTTCCATTCCTATAGCGCATGGATGATAGCGAGTAATTCCTTATTATATATTATATAATTAGTCTCTATAGGTGAAAACTTACGCGAGAGATAGGCGCATAGTCTTAGTGTCCCATCTTCTTGTCTTTATGATAAGACTGCTCCTGTCGCCCATCTAGATGCGTCTGTTTCCACTATTATTTCGGTGTCTTCTCGGAAATAAGCCAATATTGGTGCAGAGATAAAGAGGTCCTTTAGGGTCTCGAATGATTCTTGTTTCTCCTTATCCTATTTAAATATCGTATCTTTCTTTATCAACTACACCAATAGTGCAGAGATATCTGCGAATCGTGGTATAAACGTCCGGTAGAAGTTAGCGAATCTAATAAAACCACGTACTTCTCGGATATTAGTAGGTGCTTCCTATAGCTTAATGGCTTCAACTTTCTTCGGGTCTACATATAGACCTTCTCCAGCTCGTATAATAAACCCTAG